TAAAGTTATCTGTTCTCTTTCAAATATTGAAAACGACAGAATACTAGTTAGTTCTATGTCTGAGTTAATCGCAATACAATGAAGTTCTTTGACTTCTTTGAATGAATAATAGAAGGTAGAGAAAGTGTATGACAATCTAATTGAACGATAATACAGCTACAAAGCACAATGTAGGTGATCTCAAAATGGTTTTTTTCATATATTTCATTGAAAATTTAATTGATTTATACTCTCAAAGAGTTACTTTGAGTTCAATTTGATGAGAATTAAGTTTTTGTTAATGTCATTTGGATTCGATATTCTGTCAACTAAACAATATTTTTTATTTATCTTGTTTATCCATAATAATATAAAATTTAAAATCATGTTAGTAGCTAATTAAAAAAAGCTCTTCTTATTTGTACACAATCACAAAAAAAAGGAACACTAAGTCATGAGTTTGTTTTCTATATCATGCATATTTTGTTTAGGCACGTTCATCCAATGAATCAAACCTAAAATTATACAAGAAATTTTACTAGAATGATGAAATATAGAACAAAATTTCGATTTACCAAGGATCCAAAGAACCTAGTAAAGATTTGACAATATAATCACCAAAAGAAAATGGAAAATTTGCCCCACGTGTTCGTTGAATTTCAGCTCGTTCCGAACGATAATCATCAATAACATCCAAATTAGGCATTGATTTATCCCAATTCGATAAATAATTGACAGAATCAAGATCATCTGTACATGCCAAAAATGTAATATAAGTTTGTGGTGTACGTTCATTTCGTAAAACAGCTTCTAATGTACCAATATCTGTTTTACCCTGCTCATTTGTTGGTGCTCTGAAAATAAAACGAAATATGAATTTTAAAAAATCAATTTCAATTATCTAAGCTATACCCATCAGTAGCAATAAGAATTAATAGTTTCTTTTCAAATGTTAAACTACGTTTAGCTGCAAGAATTTTTCGTAATGCTGGTACAAGTGGAGTTAAACCTTTTGGTGGTGAATTAAAGACATGACGCATATTTTGTGGATTGGTTACATTAAGTACAGGATCTCGATTTAAGAAATAAACATCAACACCATTAGAATCCATAATTGCAGCGATATCAACGACAATATTAACGATCTATGTATAAAAAGAAAATGATATGATAATCGATATCTAATAAATAACGTACAGATTTTAGTTCATCCCATCGTGTTTGATTACTACCTTGAAGTGGTGTATTCATACTACCTGAGTCATCACACAGAACAACAATTTCACAATTACCAAGTATATGTAAACGTGCAGCTATTTGTGAACTAATTTCATATCTTTGAATAACTTGATTTAGTTGTTGTGCACGTTGATCATTTGGCATAATACCACCACTCTGAGGACCCATTGCTGGACCACCAAAACTACCACTTGGTTGACTTCCTGGAAAACCACCTTGTGATGGATGCGGTGGCTGTTGACCTGGATAACCACCACTTTGGGGTGGATAACCACCACTTTGAGGTGGATAGCCACCACTTGGAGAAGGATAGCCACCTGGTCTTGGTTGATAACCTCCGCTCTGTGATGGATAACCGCCGCTTTGTGGTGGATAACCACCACTCTGTGGTGGATAACCACCACTTTGTGGTGGGTAACCGCCGCTTTGTGGTGGATAACCACCACTTTGTGGTGGGTAACCTCCACTTTGTGAAGGAGGATATCCAGCTCCTGTAGTACTGGGATTTTGAGCATATGGATTATTACCATATGATTGTGTACCAGATGGAGGATAACCACCGGGACCACTACCTCCACCAGACATACCATAGCCACTTTGCGCATAAGGATTTCCTCCTTGAGGATTAGAGCCTTGTGCGTATGGATTACCAGAACTTTGTCCGTATGGGTTGCCAGAGCTGCCGTATCCACCTTGATTACTACCATGTGGTCCTGATATATTTGGTTGATGACCCCTAAAATATGAATAGATAGTTAAGTTTTCATTTATTGTCTTAATCTCTTCAGAAAATCATTTTACGTATTAGCAAAGATGATTGATATATATTTTTTAAGTAATTCTATACTAATATGTTTCGGCTTAATATGAATTATATCACTGATAAAAAACTTTGAAGTGATCTTGATTTCATCAATATTTATGTTTTTTTAAATCGATTAGATTCGTTCTAGTTTTGTCAAAGAATTCTGATTTTTTGGACTTTTGATGTTGTTTCAAAAAAGTATCAAAATAAAAACAACACGTTATTCGTTAAAACTAAAACAAATCAGAACAATTTCGAAAAGTATCTGTAAAATGACTACCCATTGAAATATATGTGGATAATTAAACTTTTTAAACTGGTTAATACAACTACATTGAAAATTGATTAAACTATATTTTTATTGCATGACAAATGAGTCCTTGTATATGAAATATATAATATGAAAACGTCAAAATGCTGTAAATTAAATATCTATATATAGTAAATGTTAACTGTTACCCTGTTAAACCAGTTCCAATATTGTAAGGTGATGGATTACCAATAGGCGGCTGTTGTGGTCGTTGTGCTCCACCGGCGTTTTGTGGTGGTTGCTGTGGATATGGAGCATTTGATCCTCCGCCTTGGCCGGGATATTGTTGATTAGGATACATTATTGTTTCGTTTTTTTCCTCTCTCTTTTTTTCTTTAGCTGTCGTCAGCAAAAAAGACAGAAGCTTGTAAAAGTAATAAACGGTTGATGCACGTTATAGGTTTATATAACAATGAGGGTAAAAAATGACGAAAGCATAAAACAACGACTCGTCGATTGACGTGCATGCTTCGTTCTTTTTCTGCTGTTTCTCTTCTTTTTTTTCTCTTTTTCTGCTGTTTCTCTTCTTTTTTTCTCTTTTTCTTTTTTTGTCTTGTTACTACGACCAACTATTTGTTCTTCTCCTACTTTATTCTTACTAAACTTTCAAGGTTAAAGAGAAAAAAAGAAAAGAAAATATGCTTTCATGATGTCTTATGAATGTGCACGCTTATTCTTGAGGCTAAATATAATTTTTGTAATGGAATGAAATCAAAAATTATTCACCATTACATATTGCTTTTTTTGGCATGGATAGAGTTTAAAATTATACATTTCTTTTAATTTACATGCATAAAAACAATAGAAAGATAAAAAGCAATATAAAATCATGTTTGCTGTTTTTTTTTCTAATCCAATAGTTAATTATAGTTGGCGCAATTAAAAAGAACATTCAACAAGTTGTTGTAAAAAAAAGATTCTATTTATAGAGGACAGAAAACCAAGATGAATGAACAATGTTCTTGTAATAATCATAATGAAATGTATAAAATAATTGAAAATTATCGTTCAATTCTCAATCGAAAACAACAATATATATCTAGTTGGAAAATTTTTGATAACAATGGAAAAATTAGTTTCATACATGGTAGTAAATTTCGAAAACATACTGATGCACTAGTCATTTGTTCAAATAAGATCTGTCTTATTAATCCATGGTATAAATATATTGATATAAATAAACAATTTCTCTCAATTTTAAAACAAAATCAATATTATAAAATATTCGAAATTGTTTTACTTGAATGTAATTGTTTAACAAATTTACATAAATATGAAATAGCAATTATGCAATGTCCATGTCTTGAACAATTAAAAACTTACTGTACATATTGTCGATTAATTTTAATCATGACAGTACATTCAAATATTTTATTATCTCATCAATTTTTAAAAAACGTTAGTCAACAAACAAAAATTTCATTTTCATTAGATTTTTTGCATGATGAAATTAATATTCATGATCATTTTTGCAGTCAATTAGGACCATATAAATATCAACGTACAGTTCAAATTCAAGTTGAATCAGAACAAGTTCTTCGTGCTATTACGCAATATGAAAGAAATATATTAACAAAGAAAAAATCCATAAATGCTGTCCACACATTGTTTCTGTCAAAGGCAATTGATGAAGATGCTGATAGTTCTTTAGTAGAACCTCAGGTTTGAAAAATGCTTTTTCTTTGTTGAAATTTCGAGTTTTTTTCAAAGATCAATATAGTTTCATAAAATCTATCAAACTAAGAAAAAAATCGGAAAAACAAATGATGGTACCTATAACTATGGTTCGAACTTCTGGAAAGAGAAGGTCTTTATTATGATCAAGAATTCCCAAAACATGACTCAAGAATATGATACATATATGCCTAGTCAACTTTTTTGTATTGTGAATGAAGTTATGATATGAAAACTTCTGGCCTGAACCTTGAACTTTTTAATTCTAATAAAAAAGTCATTATCCTTAGAACAGAACCATTGTCACGTAAAATACTCATTGAGCACAAAAAAAGACATCAGTAATTCTATATTTTATGACAAAATTGATCACATCAGTTACCACGAAAAAAACAAAAATAATTGAACAAAAGAAAAACTAACAAGGAAAGAAAAGAGCTCATAGCTAACAAATAGCAATTTTCTATAACCAGTAGACTATGCTTTGATTGGTACAAGTTTCTTTAATGTCCTAATCTAGAAATAAATAAAATACCGATTGATTGTTTTTCATTTTATTCAGAAAATCATATAAAATGTAATGATTCATTTTTATTTGTTTTTACTTTTTAAGACGATTGTTCTTTTACAAGATGATAATATTAAACAAAATTCATCGCAATCAAATATAGAAAATCGTTCACCGATTAGTTCAATATCTCTTCCTTTTCTTTCACAAAAAAATTTTTCAAAAAGTATTGTACGAAAATTTCATTCAAACATTTCACTATCATCACAACATACAATTGAACTAAATAAAGGTTTGTTATTAGAAAAATATATAAGTCAAGGAACACAAACTAAATTGTTTGCTATTCTATTACCACAAAGTCCATTAAGTATAATGAAACACGCTAAAATTGCTGATCGAACATTAGTCAATGTGACACGAGCTTGTCAAGTAAATACACTTTCATATTTAATTAAAACAGATAGCAGTCAAACAGAAATACAACATTCATTAGAACATATTTCGAATGTTAAGCAAAGAGTTTTTGAAAATGAAATTCAATTAAATCAAGAATTATTATCTAAAGAAAAAACTTCATCAACAGAAACAAAGCATCAAAAGTTAATGAATTATAAAGATCATGAACAAATAGTCGATGTACCTACTATTAAATTCGATCAAGGTGAATTACTTGATGATTTTCAAGAAGAAAAATTTAATTCAACATCAATAAACGAAAAGATTTATTCGAACGAAGAACAAAATGAAGGATTCATCATCATGCCATCACCAGTCAAATGTATTAACACTTGTGATACTGTTGATTTAGATGAATCCATTACTCCAGTGACTTCTCTCATTAACAATGACATAAACTTAACTATACATACATCCAATCTCGAACATCCTGATACGCAACTTAAGATCTATAGAAAATTATTCAATAATTCCAATATTCATATAATCAAGTAAGAAAAAAAACCAGTGAAGAAAGAATACTCTAAATGTAAAATAAACAGATTAAATCTTAAGATTATTTATTATTTGCTCAAAAAAATAATAATAATAAATTTCAGATGCTCTACCAATAATAATAACAATGAGCAATTAACATCCATCCAAAGAAATCATTCGTTAGCATCCGTTGGTCATTTATCATCAAATTCTTATCAAACATCAAAATTATTTCGTTTAAAAATAAATTCCTATCGAATATTATATCGAAAAAGACGAGAATATCGAAATAAAACACGTATTTATAATTTTCTTCAACGTCTGTATCGTCGAAAAAAACCAAAGATTTCTCAGTTACATCTCTTTGAACATCATTCTCCATCGTATTCAACATCATCATTCATGATAGCAACTGATCATTGCAAACAATTTGATAATTGTTTATTGACTACTCAAACGAATACAAATAAACACCATACACCATATCATCGACGACAACAATCTATTGTTAATTTACATTTAAATAATTCTGATATGAATTGTCAATATAAAGCATATGATCACATAATAGTAGCTAGAGCATCAAAAAATTCTACAGCTTGTAAACAATTACAAACATTATTGAATAATCATGATACTTTTTTAGAACAACTTATCGATTCACAACTTATATTAACATGTAATGATGATTATAGATCAATTTGTATTCTTATTGATGATCATAAACAATCAGAACAATATCGATCATCATTTCTTCATTATATTTATACAACTTTATCAAAAACTCTTAAAAAAATTTTTGAAAATGATTCAATACAATTAACATGTATGAATTTAGCTTTTTTTAATAATTCTCTATGTGATATTATTAATATGCAACGATTACGTTTAATTGACACAGGTATATTTCAAAAGAAGTTTATTCTCATCGTAATTCTCACTTAACATAGACTGAAAATATTCTAAGAGACTTTTTATTTTGATGTTTTTCTCGAAAAGAAAGGAGGCAAATTACATATTACGAGTATCGTATAAAGTTAGAGTCAAAATCCAAACAATTTAATGAATAATCTAACAATAATTAAGAAAAATAAACTCTAAGTATAGACTTCAGAACTTTTTAAAAAAAACTACATTTTATAGAGCAAACTTTGCTTTATCAAAGAAGATGTCTCACTCTTTTGTGCTATGTATCAGTTCTCTGTACAACTATTGTATCTTTGATCAAAAATGTCAACAATGATTTTCAGCTATTTTTCATTTGCTCCACATCTTAATATGTTGTAAAGTACTATGTCTGATGAGAAATTCATCGAAAAGAAGCATCAATCATCTCAATTGATAAAAAAAAGTCTACTTTACAAAATGCACTATTATTTAAAGCTCTGAAGGCTATTCATAGAGCTTAGTTAATTATACATAGAATATTAATTAAACTTTCACTAATGATTAAGATTAAATGATTCTAACTAAAATGTAGTTCGTTCAATGCTGTATCTAATGATCTAGTTTTTAAACTTGTCTTTACTTTTTTATAACGATTTTTTTTTCTTGCTCCAACGATTTATTAGATCAAGAATAGATGTTTTTGTTTAGACCTTGACTCTAACTAGATATGGCACCCAAACTATGTCTTCAACCTCTTTCCTCCTTCAAAGAAAACATAGAGATGAAAATTATTTTAAAATTTTGCAGTCGACTTTATTTCTAGGTAGAAAAATAGTTCTTCAACCATCATGTGAAACATCATTAAGAACTCTTGATGATATTAATATAGCCATGAATCGTCTCAGTACAAAAATGTCATTTGCTCATCAAATATTTATCATTAATTTTTATAGTGAACGATCATCTGCATCTGGTTCATTTCTCTTTTTACAATTAGCGCCTATTTGTTCTATACAATCAAAAGGTTTACTAACTAATTTAAATTCAACGACTTATTCCGTATTAAATTTAATAAGACAATTAAGTAATGGTCAATTATTCAACCATAATAGAGCAAAACGATATCTTTTGAATGATTATTCATTAAATCGTCTTTTGAAAAATTATCTCTTTTCTCCACAACAAACAATGACTGTTCTTACAATCAAATCTAAAGTACAACAACAATAACAATAACAAAGAAAAACTTCGAGATAAAATCAAAACATAGAGAAAGAAAATATTCATTATCTTCAATCAAATAAAAACAATAGTCAATATTTCAGTAGATTACTAGAAATGATATACTATGATTTTTGGCTTATAGAACTAACATTATGAGATAAAATTAATTGTTACTTGTTAAATATTCAATAAATTTTGTATATCGTGCCTTTTGAAACGAGACTATTTCGTTTGTTTCATACTTTTTATTATTTTATTTCGGATATCTATCTATAGCTTCAAAGAATAGAATCAATTATTTTAAAATAGATAGTTAATAATATGTATTAGAAAAATATAAAAACTATTCTAAATCTTCTGATGGCATTCATTTCATTTGTCATTTTCTATTCAAAATTTCTACTGGTGTACTTTCAATTTTTAAAAATGGACCAGTAAAAGCCTAAACAAAAAAAAATACAACTATAATATAAAATAAACAAAATGCGTATGTTACTTACTGTTATTGATATATTCGGAATTTCCAAATTATGAACTGTATGATAACCGGAATAATCTTTTTCTTCTGGTCGTGATTGTCGAATAGCTTGATTTTGAGAATCTTTTGCTACCTGAAAAAGAATAAAAAAAAAAAACAAAAGTTATAATAAAAATTTTCTTTTACAATTTCTTTTACCATCAATAATGGATATTTTGATGTACGTGCAACAAATGATTTCCATTGTTCAAGTCGTTTTTCTTGAAATGCATGATTTTTTATTAACTTCAAATAAAAAAAAAAAAATATTATTTAAATACTAAAAACAAACAAATAAATAATTTTTTTAAATTTTTTACTTCATTATAAAATTCTTTTTCAATTTGTAAATCATATTTATGATATTGTTCTAAGATATAATTTTGTGTTGCAACCACAGCTAAATAGAAATATATTTGAAAAAAAACCATGATATATCATTGTTTTTTTTTTTTAAACATTTGTTCATACCTAATGCACGTTCTTCTGTAGCTCGTAAAATAGTATCTGTTGCTTCATTATCATGTGCAATTAATTTTACACCTTCCATATCAAGTTCAGTAATAATTTCTTGCCATATTTCACCCATTTTAAAATCAAGAAAATTTTCAATTATACATATTGTAATATAATCTTCTTCATGTAAACCAGGTAATTCACTAAAACCTAATTTACAAAAAAATCCATAAATTTTTGATCTCATATTATCAATTAAATCTAAAACTGATCGTGATGGTTCAAAACGTTTCAATGATGTTAATGGTACTGATTGTTGTAGAAGACCCATTAATGGTTTTGTATGATCACTAATGACACCTTTATCTGTTCGAGTAACCTTTAGACAACAACAAAGAAAAAATTTAAAATAAAATAAAAATTAAGTTTAATTTTTACATAAGTTTCACGTTCTTCATCTCGCCATAATTCACAAAGTACATGTGTAATATATTCTTGTTTACGTCCTTGCCATGCCATTATGAAATGAAGACATTTTGTATTTTCTGTTAAATCTAATACACAACCAAGTATAATATTTTGTAAAGATTTTGGATTTGTCTATTTCAAAAGAAAACAAGTTTTTGATTAGGATTATTAAAAAAAGTCTTATTGTTTTTACTTCAATTAAATCCAGTAAAGCAAAAACTCCTTGTTTTTGAATAAATTCATCTTCATTGATAACACTACCAACAACGCAACACCATACACAATCTATAGCTGCAACAAGTAAACGATGATAACCAAGACCACCACAAACATATGGACATTCTATTGAAAGTATTTGAATTAACATTTCAATACCTTCAGAACCAAAGATTTCCTAAATAAAAAAAAAGAATTTGTTGTAAACTTAAAAGCACATGATAAAAAAATTCTTCTCCTTACTTTTCTATGAACATCTAATTCTCCTAAACAACTTAAAATAAATAATCCATCACAAATAATATCTAAATCTACATGATCAATATGAATCGAAGTTTGTTGAGTCATAATTCTCAAATATCCTTTACAACACGAAAACAAACAATGAAAAAAAAAAAGATAAATAAACATCTTATTCAAACCAGCAATCGATGGAATAATTCCTTGATCACATAAATCAATATAAATACGTTCATCTTTTGTTGAAACAAGACTACGAAATAATCGAAATATATATTTTAATTGTGATCGTTTATTATTTCGACCACCTTTAGCAAAAAAACTATTTCCTTCACTTTTATATTCCTCTTAAAAGAAAAAACAAATAATATAATTTAAAACAAAAAAAAAAAAATCAATCGTTTTTTTTTACCATTATTGATTGTCCATTCATAAAATACTAAAAGTCTTGTACCAACACCATATTCAAAATATTCATTTAATGAATATGGTAAAAGAATTGAAAGAGTTACAAGTGCATGTAATTGAAGATCTTCAAATTGTGATATTTTCCATTCAAATGTATTTCTTTGAGGATCTTTTTTTCTTGGTAAAGGTTCAATATAAGATAAAAAAGCAAGTATAATTCGACTATTAATCACTAACTTCAATAAAGAAAAATTTTATTTAAAAACAAAAAAAAAAACAAACCATAACTTCAAATTATATAAAACATACTTCATGCATCATCGGGTTACGATTAAGTATAACAACTGTATTAAATAATAATTTTTTAAATTCAAAATCTTCATCACACGTTGTTAATTTAAAATTTTTTACTAATGGACTATTACTACGTACTTAATAAGAAATATATAATTAGAAATTGAGATTTTTTTTGCAAAGATGCTATTTACATTCAGGATAAGAAGCAAACAAAAGTAATTGCTTAGCGAAACCGGTTTCAATGACTTGAGAAAAAAAACGAAAAATTCTATTAAAGAGATTAAAAAACAAAAATTTCACAACCTGGAGCATTGGGATTAATATTAAAAATAAGAGAACAAACAACAAGAATATCATTTCTGAAAAACAAAAAAATTTTATGCATGATCAAGTTACTCATATTCAATATATATTCGAACCTTAATTGACGATGATATTGACCATGACTTTGCGTAATTTGACCAAAAAAAGCTTCTTTTAGAAGACTAAATTAAAAATAATATTTATATGAAATAGATATTTAATAATAAACCTTATAGTAACACGTGAATTTAATTGATCACAAATTTGTTCATCGGTACCATATTCAAGTAAATTCCATAATAAGTCAATTGTACGAAATAAAAGTCTTTAATTAATAAGAATTAATTGAAAATTATATGTAAAATAAACAAATTCTAATTCTAATATATAGTAAAACTTCGAATATCTACTATTTAAAACGATTCATAATACGAGCAACTAGCAGTTTGTTCTATATTTTAATAGTTTTTAAAAGAAATAAAACTTTCATATAAATTGATTGATTAGAACCTTGGAAAATGAATTCAACATCAGTACATGATAATAGAACATTAATATTAGTTTATGATGAATAATCAATGTTAATAAGGTCGTACTGAAGTGTGAAATTTTCTTATATTCAATTTTGATTTCTCGTGATTATTTCCATTAATTATTCATAATACTTCTACTTGAATGTAATATGTCAACAGATGATTTAAAGAAATACGGAAACATATTTGAAGACTTTTTCTTTATGCGTATGCTCTTTGTCATAATTGGTGAAAAAGTTCTGCATTGATTTTGTGTTCAATATGATGTAATGGCTAAAATGTCGTGTACACTTAATAGTTTTCTTGTTAGAAAGAGCAAAGTTGTTGTTTTAAAAATATTTCGTTGAAAATATTCATTGAAGGCTAAAAAATTCTCTGTACATACTTCTGAAATCTAGTAGAAAGCTTCCATCCACTATGAAAGATAGCCTAATTTCTCATGTATTGCTAGAGTTTGTAACGGTACGATAGGGCATTGTAAACAGATAAAAGTAAAGTTTTTAAGTTATCGAATAAGTTCAAATATCGTCATTTTTCTAACGAAAAGTATTCAAGACTAGTCAATGATTTTGAAAGATAAGATTTTTTTCCAGCGACCGAACTTGGTCAAATCCCATATTTTATGACCCATTAGAGTTTTCTAAGTCCTCTACAAAAATATATTATATAAAATGAAATATTAGACATTATGAGAAAAGCTTCATTGAAATTTATCGAGAGAAAACTAAGCTTTTAAAATGAAACTGTCTCCTATGAGACTTATAATTTTTAGTAGCATGAATATCTGGATGCCGATGAAAAGCTCGCGTTTCTTTGGTATCCTCATACATAAGATGCCTAAAAACTTCGATTGCCACAGCTACATGCTTGCACTGTTCGAAATGTATCCATAAGGTACTATGTGCAAACCTCAGTAAGATCAGCCATGAAATGACCATAGACAAATTGCTAACGTTCATTTATCACAAGTCATGCATTCGATAACATGCTGACTACATTGTGACTTACGCCTGCTCTTGTAGCTAGTTAGTATGTATAAGAAGCTGAAGAACTCTGCATCAGATTGGCTTTTTAATTTTTATATAGCTTTAAAATAGCGACTTTGCTCTTGCTAACACGAAAGATCTATCAAGTTATCTTGAGGAGTTGTTGTCAAGTTATATTGAAAATAAAATTCTTGCAGAACCTTTGCATCATTCGTTGTTTGACTAAATGAAGTCTTGGAATCATGATTGAATACCTTCAGCAATAAAGTTAATATAAAATTACTTTCGTTTTATTTACTCTTTCAGAGTCGAATATGTGTGTAGTGATAGTGCTTCATCGTTTATTATAAATTTCCATTTTCTAGATGGGATTTAATGTAGACACAATTTTATGTCTATTAATCTATTTCTTAGGCTTCCTTTCAATTTTTTTAGGTATCATAGATTACTTTACTTGACCTTCTTCTTACAGGGTTTCATCTTCAAGAATGCTTTTACTTTTTTATGTAACTGATTTGAATAATAAATGCATTTATGATATCCAATAACTACTATTTTTTTTGTGTTTTATACTGTTTTTTCTCGAAATGATGAATTTTTAAATTTCTAATTTAAGTATAAAAGAATCTAATCAAATTTCTTACTCTCCTGATGGATCAGGCTCATTCATTCTTGATACTAAACGATTTATACAATCATGAGTCAACATTCTTGCAACACAATTAGCTATAATACAGTTGAAATATATACTAAATTCATTAGAAAATCATTGTACATACAAGATTTCGATGAATAAATTTGTAATAATTTTATGATATCAATACGAAGTGATAATTCATTTTCTACCATTGAAAGTGCCTATAAAATATAATAAAAAAATGTGAAAAACAATCATTTGTGCTATTTTTTTTTTACTTTAACAAGTGTTTCACAAAGATCACTATTGCATTGTGTGCGTAGTAAATAATTAATTGGTGTTGGCCTTAGACCATCATAATTATCTTCAGCTATTGATGATTTATTTGTTGATTGAATTGATTTATAAAGTGTTTCAAGAATACATTGTTGTATACGTTTATTTTGTATACGAAGAAGATATCCTTTAATGAAATATTTTCATTAAAAATAATATTCATAAAATTATTTTCTTACCAAAATCTGCATAAAAAGAAATTAATGCAGATGAATAAATTTCTGCATCTGTTGCTTTATCTAATAGAAATGGTTTTGAACAATTCTTGAGAATATTTATAAACGGATCAATAAAAAGTGCTTGTTGTTGACAAAGATCTGCAAGAATGTTCAACATTTTCATAAGATTGTGTAAATCTTTTAAAACCTAGAACAAAAAAAAAAGGGGGAATAAACTTCTTAGAATAAAAAAAATTATGAAATAAATATTTATTACGTATCCATTTTTGTGATGTCGATATAATTTATGACAAAGATGAACACGTCGATCGACTAGATGAGACTTGAAAAGAAAGAAAAGATTGTAGATTTTATTTTCCAAGATATTAATCTTTTTACCGTATGTGGATCTTGAAAAAATTTAATTGTTCTTCCAAATTGAAATGGTTCAATTTTCTAAAAATATGAATTTTAGAGATGAAAAAAAATATCAAAGAAATTTAAAATAATCAAACTTGTTCATCATTATCGGTTATTGATGTTAAAACATGAACAAGAGGTAAACGATTTTGTGAAATTTTTGGTAGGAATGTGTTTTTAATGATCGACTGTTGTTGTATTGTCAATATCGACATTTTAAATGAATGTCAAAATAAAGATTTACAGAAATCACTTATAGGATTTCCATTTATTCCTACCACTTCGGTGTCCGATGGCTTCGTTACTTAGCAACTCGCTGTCAAAACAGTTCTTTCCTTGAAAATCTTAAATATTCATATAAGCAGCTTTTTGAAAACAACATTTAGCCTCAGATGATTATCTAAATATTTCAAATTGTTAATAGATGGCGCCACGGTCGAGAAACCTGGATACTTTTTAATCAGGGACAGCTTGACCCTTCAAAATTTAGGAGAGCATGAAGAACTTTTATTTCAGATAATGTCTACTTAAGATAACGATAGGCTCTTTTTTATGCTTTATATCTGCAAATTCAATCAGAAATCTCTTGACTGCAGTCTGTCGGGACTGCGATACATCTCAAATAAGAAAATATATTTTTCTAACCGAACTGTAAATTTTTCATGCGTTCTCTTAGAAAAAAAGGCCTTTCACACCATCCCAACGTTCCTATATTGGCTGCTTCAGGCTAGCCCGAAGTTCAAGCAATACTATTATATGAAGGAAGTAAATTTTAAAACGATTCAAAAAAGAGTGAGCTCGATACTTAAAACTGGAATTTCGAACTTCTTCTGAACATATAACTCATGTAGAGAAGTATTAAATGATAGAAAATAAGCCTATTTACATTCGTGCAAATGATGTTTTTAATTTATTTAAATATATGCTGACAACCAACCAATCATAAGTTAAAAACAGATTCTGATACATCATATATTTAGAAAGAATATTAAAGTTTGCTTCTAACTCACTAATTTTGAGCCTCTTCATTGATATTTACATGTCCAGAAAATGAAAAAAAACATTTTAACCTTTAGCTTTTAACTTACTGTTTTTGCACAAACATCGTTTTTAGTAATCATTAAAGAGTAACTCTCAATGAACTTATTTTAAACTACAGAGAAACTCTGAATATATAATTCGATACTTAAAAGTTATTTTATATTTAAAGAACTTTTCAAACGAACAATCATCTAAACCATTTACAGCTATTTAATCTGATTTCAATATAAGTTTCATTTCAAAGTTTCCAGATGCTTTGTTTTACTTCCAATATGTTTTTTCAATGAATAATCATAAATATGTTCAACTGATTATATACTTCTTAAAAACTTCTATGATTTCATTCGAATACATGAATACTAAAATTAAATCTTAACAGTATTCCATCGAAAAATCTCATAAATACAAAAAAAAATTCTATCCCATTATAATGAATTTTAATTAATATAAAAAGAAATTAATAAGATGATTATTGATACAATTAGATCAAGCTGTTGATCGTATTTTAAAAAGAAATGAAAATTATATAGTCATCATTCACGATCGGTTCAATTAACGTTTATGAATACCACTAGTTGGTCGAAATGGTGTTGTTATTTTGATTTCACTCTAAATAATAAATGACAAAAAATAAAACGAAATGAGAAAATCAAATCAAAGAAGAAAAGTTCAATGTTACTTCTTTGCCAATATTTGTTTGTTGTCGTCCAGGAGTTTTAGTACTCATTTCTAATCGTTTTATATTTGCTTGTGCATGTGTCATTGTTGGTGTTTGACCACGAGCTAATTGTTTTCGTGCTCGTTCAAGTTCTTTTTCTTGTGAATAATTTTCTTTTTCATTATTAAAAAAATCTTGTACAGGAACGCCTTCAACTAGAAATTGATCTAGAACAAAAAAGAAAAACAATTCATGAAAATATATTGTATGAAATTATTTTTTTTTCTTACATCCAAATTCATGTTCATATTCTTTACTAAGTTGTAGAACAGTATCTTGAAGTTTTTTTAATGAAAATTCTAAATGTTTACGTTGTTTTTCTTCTTGTACAGCTGAATAACCTCGACGTTTAAATCGATCTGGATCACTTGCTTGACGCTAAATATTTTAAAAATATTTAAAAACTAGACAATATTTAATTTAAAAATCTACTTGAAATTCTCGATATTCAGCCCAAACTTCATGCCAATTAGCAAGATTAACAAATAATTGTTCATTATGAATGTAATACATATTGATTTCTTCTAATTCTTTTTCATGTTCTTCTAATACTTCTTCAGTAAATTCGTCTAAATTAAGAAGAAAAAAAAAAAAAAAACATTTTATTATTTATAATTCTAATATATACATACTTGAATATAATGGAAGAAAACTTTCCATTTGTTCACGACCATAAAAACATTTTTCATATTGAGCAAATATTTCATCTCGAATATTTTCAATATATGTTCGCATATTTTGTCGACGTAATTCTTTACATCGATCGATTTCTTTTTCTAACTAAAATAAATACATTAAACTTGAAAAAAAGTTCTAAACTTTCTATCATAGTAAACTCGATTTTCCTTTATTTTATATTCATTTATATAAATGAATATGATTAGAAATACAAAAAACATTTAGAACTGGAAAGTATTTTATTAAAGATAGTTACCATTGAATCTTTCGGAATTTGTTGAAATGGTACTAATTTTCAATGAAAAAGAATATGAATAAAGATCAGACGAGAAAATCAATCTATTGCAGCTAGCAAGAAAACTACTTGAACTGATATCTATTGTTTAAGGAGCTCATATTAGATTCATAAAAAATTCTAAAAAAGTTCTTCTTCATGAACCTCTGAAGACGAGTTATGAGCGTTTTACTGAGTTTTCGATTCAGTTTTAGGTTGATATCAAAGAATAATTTCGACTTTTATAAACAAAATTTCAGGTTGAAATCCTGTGATTTGATTTTTCTCATGAATATTCAAAGTTCACTAAAATAACCATGACTCGGCTGCAGAACCCCATGGAAACGAATTTTTTTTAGTCTTATCGAGATCTTTATGTGAATCCAATATAATATCAAGTAGCAGCTATCAGTTCAGATAGTTTTCGCGTAAGAATAAACTGATAAGAAAATTGATCGTGATCATTTGAATTTCATTTTCCTCAGGAAAGTTGAAATTGAGATAAACCCATAGGAAGATATCTCAAGGTCTAATCTTTGATAGACGTCATGATCTTTTTATTGGGCACCTTGTTTTTTTTCTATCAAAAGTTTTGATGATTTCCGATATTTTGTGCTTGAAAAATATGTTTTTTTTTCATCAAGTAAGCCAGAAGTCTCTATGGACTTTCACTCTATATGCGTAATTCTTTTCCTCTTTGAAAGAGCATGTCAAGATACAGAGCATGACATTATATAGACGAGTACTTTTATAAATAGAGCGCCATTTTTTTAAGAGTTCTTCGAAATACCAAACTCTTTTCTCCTTGAAAAGTAAGGATTAAAAAAAAAAGCACTCTGTCATGCGCTGCATATTAACATGCTGTTTCAAACAAAAGAAAAATAACTATATAGAGTCAATGTCCACAGAGAATGTTGTGTTAGCAAATAAGCTATTTTTGACTCTTGTGTATTGAATATCTTCCTCGAGTTTAATGTGGTGTACGGTTGAAAATTCAGCCATAGTCTCTCCACTAAAGCTTCAACATGTTCGAAAAATTTCATACGATTTGAATGTATCAAATTAGAAAGTTTTGCTAATTATACATTGACTAGGAAATTTTCATAATAAAAATAATAATACAACGAATGTACATATAAATGACTTTTTGTTGCAAGAATTAAAAAAAAAAAATTCTTTTTTTTTAATATCTTTCATTATGTTTATTGTTTGTATATACATACTAGAATAAGATTTGCTGGTCGATGAGGTTTATCAAGTGGTAATTTAATATATTTGTCTGAATCGGTTAAATTTAATCGTTCATAAAGTGCATTAAGCATATTAACAAGATGTTCAGCTTTTGTTCGATTTGCTTGATATAAAGTATCAAGCTATTGAAAAAAAATAAAAATCATTATTAAGCATATATTTATATTTACATACCTCATGAGCAATAGACAGTAAATATTGAACATTTGTTTTCGATAATTCAATTAGATGTATAGGACCATCAATAAGACTAAGCCCTTGATCATTATCGGTTGATTGATTATAAGTATTGTCAAGGTCAAGTTCAATTTTCATTTCATGAATTTGTTTACGTGCTTGTTCAATAGCTGATGAACGATCGTTCTATAGAAGAAGGAAAAAAGAAATTATTAAATATATTTTCTATTAAAAAAAAATATATATATAATTTAATTAACCTGTAAATTTTGTAAATCTTGTATATGTTGTTCAAGAATTTCTTGTCGTTTATCATAAGTCATTTGATCAACTAGAAAATAATATTTTTCAATAAACGCAAAAAATAAATTTTAATAATTATTTACCCTCACTATTAAATTCAATTGGTTTTTCATCTAATTTATTACATAATTTGTCTTCAAGTAATCTTAATTGATTGATTTCTTCTAATTTTTTTTTCAATACTTCATTAATTTTTTCAAGTAGATTATTAGCTTGTTTTAATTGTTCAAATAATGGTAATTCTTCATTTTCAATTTTCTATATATATATATAAACAAAAATCATTCGTTAGCAACACGACACAAAAAAACGACATCGATTTTCACTTTACATATGTTCGTAAAATCTCTATACAAAGTTTTTTCTATATATGGATAGATTTTTCAAAAAACAAAACGATTTATTTCTCGTTAGCGACTTGATGGAGTGTGAAAATAATGTTTCTTATAGTCTAATAAAGAATTTCAAATGGTAAACATCTTTCTTCAAATCTTTGAATGTTGATAAGATAAAAGTTTTCATTTTGAGAATTGAGAAGATTTCTAGAAAACTGATTTTAAAGAAGCAGTTGTTTTGAATTCTGATCTTGATGTAAATTTCATCGTAGATGCGAGAATCTATTCTGCGGTTTTGACATTATAAAAGAAATATTTACTAAATACTTCTTAATGGTTGATTAACAGAACAAGTAAACATTTTTACATATGTCTTTTGTTGAAAGAATTTATTGACCCTTGTAAAGAATGAAAAGTCGACATGCTTTGTCATGGCTAATACGGCTTATATGTGAAATTAAATATTGAAAAAACAAATCTTACTTGAATAGCATAATCTAATTTAAGAAGTCGATTTAAATGAATACATTCATCCAATATAGCTCGTATACGTTCTTGAAGTAAATCATTTTCTTTTATTTCAATACCATTTAATTCTTGTAAACATGTCTAATAAAATTTATTTATTTAACATATTAAAGAAAACAATTAAAATTTACTTTTAAATTATTAATTATTGTTTGTTCTTTATCATTAATATCTTGTTCATTTAAACCACGCCGTGTAAGATTCGTACGTAATATTGTTAAATTTGATTCAATCCATGAATAAAATGGAATATGTTCAAGACGACATTCAAGTGATGATTGATCTTGTCGAAAATTTGTTGGTGATCTTTGATTTTTTTCAAAAAACAAAAAAAAAAAAAAATTTATTTTCAATTAAATATATGTATATATTTACATACATATTCAATTCATCATTGTTAGGTGGATCTTCGAGAGAAAACGTTCGATCGGACATATTTTTCTAAATGAATATCATATCGATGTAAAGGAAAAAACACATACAATGTAAAGAATATAAAAAAAAGAAAAGAAACTACGAATGAACAAAATATGTCACATCAATCAAATAATCTCTATATATTCGCTCTCTTACTCGCCATTCTTTGCATCTTTCTCTGGCCGTATTACGTTGTACGTCATTCGATGATGTATCTTCTGTTGTCATTGTTATATATTTCTTTTCGTAAATCGATTCGATATAGATACAAGACAAATGAATGTGTTGATGGGTTCGAATACAACAGTGACTGCAGTTGTCACTTGCTTTGAGAAAAGAAGCAGAATTTTCCTCTTTTTTTTCTTTCTTTCATATAAAAACACACACACTCCGTCTCGCTCTTTTAGCCGAGAAAAAAAAAAAAGAGAAAAAGAATACATTGAAGTAATGATGCCGGCTGCCGCTGCTACTGCTATATTTTTTTGTGATTAGCCCTTCTGTCGCACTGAACAAGAAGTGAACGAGAAAAAAAAGAAGAGAAAAACTCGTGTTCATGCGTCAAATGGAACCGTTCTTACTTTCGTCGTTGGTCAGTCTATATATGACAGAAAATATAAGTCATATTCCTTTTTCTATCGTAGATATTGTCTTTGTTTAGAAAAACGCCAATTATGATATTTCTTTTATCAACAAAAGAAACCAAAAGCTAACAACATGTCAAAGGTTTCCATAAATATTTTTGTGAGCAAATATACGTCATTGATATATGGAATTCATTCTTTCTTTCAACTATTTATTGATCGAGTACCCGCGCTGAAACAGAATAGAGAATAAGAGGAGAAAAATAGTGTTCAGCCAACAGCCGGTGGCATCTACAAAATATATTGAAGTAAATTCTAGAAAATGACGTACAGTTTATTTCTTGCATGCAGAGCTCAATGTCCCGCACTATAAAAAGATTAAAATATTTGACGAATTCAAAGAAAATGTTCTATATAAACGAATTACATTTAACTTTTTCTAAAAATTAATGCAAAAGAATTATTTCTTATTTATATCTGAATGACATAATGTAGAATAAAGATTATTGAATTTGTCTGAAAATCTTATTTTCCAATTATCAGTCATTTTTATTTATTGGGACAAACGCTTGCCGAAGAGACTTTCTAAATTTCCGGAGATATGATGTTATTTTTAACACTAGTGACATGACAACTGATCATTAAATAACAATAAAATTTTGTTCCTATGATATAGTGACACAAATTTGTTTTTTATTGGCGATTAATAGAATATCTTTCACATGCACAAAACAGGAACTAGCAACCAAGACATTAAAAATATTAAATATAAATACCAATCGTAAGTAAATTACCAAGTATAAAATGAAATGATAGCAAATCATTTTTTTAAGCATAAAATATAAAGATTATGGTTCAAGCAAAGTTATTCAGATACAAATGACACGTGAGGAAAAACAAATATTACTAATAAAAATTAAACTTTCTAACAAAGATGCAAAGTTTTGATATATCGTTTTAATACAAGATCACATTCTCTAATTCACATAATGACTATGACAGTCTGCCAATAACAACGAAATGCTATTCCTGATTGGAACACTATGGAACTAGTATGAAATATTGTCAAACTGAAAATTAAAGAATCTTGAACCAGTGTGAACTAAAGAATATAGTCAATGTAGCAGAGAATGACTTGTCATCAATAAAATTTTATACCAGAACGTACGAAAAAAAAAAAATCAAAGGATATATTAGTATTTTTATATTTTCTCTTGAAATTTTTATTTGTATTAGAATCGTTTACTCTTACAATGGTCATGTACGACATCCAGAAAGCTATTAGCTAAAGACTAAATAAAATATTTTCATCATATTCTGACCTAATCAGCTGACATTTTTTTTCGTTGATAGAATATTATTCATAGCTTATATTCATACAACAAGCATTGATAAAAACTGTTTTGACGTATCACAATTGACTTGAATAAAGAAATATAATCCATCACGAGTTATGAAAAAGCGATATATTCATTCTGTTGCCAAGAATAAACGACACATCAACTTTTTTTTAATGATTTTTCGACACTTGTGTCGTTTGGTCTCAAATTTATGCCACAAATACATGTCCTATTATTATTTGTGTGCTGAAAATCTCAGCAATAAACAGAATGAATTTGTTTAGAAAACTACTATGTTGTTTTTTTTTAATAACCAATCATAGGTTAGAGTTCTTTGTTGAAGTCAGTTGTGAGACATAAGAACATTTTACGTCAATACCTATCCTATAAATATTAGCTTTAAAGCAAACCTCTATCAGCAGTGAAAATGTTAGCCCTATGTCAAAAAATAACGGAAATAGTTGAATCTTTTTTTTTACTATTGATTTTCTTGACACTCTATATATCTCTACATGACTTTGCTTGAACTAGTATCTCAATATTTTATGTTAAAGAAAAAGACTTACTAAAATTTGATCGTTGGAAGAAGTAAGTATTTGAAAGGCTCAACCATCGACAGTGAAGTAATATCCAAGAATTTCCTAGTTTTTTTTTGGCATGTTATTGACAGTAGTGAATATAATAAACTCTCAAATTTCTAGTTCGATCAGATTACTTTATTCCAAGACCATTATTCAAAATACTGATGAAATTTTTAATGATAGTTATTTTCTAGTTCTTCGATTGTTTCTTGTAAATTTTTTTCAATAAAATAACTTTTATCTTTCGAAACGAGAGAGTTTTGATTTTATGTTCTTTTACTTATAATTGCTACTATGTATGATATTTCAAAAATTTTCTTTAACTAAATATAAAAAACATATTGATATTCTAACCAGAGCCTTATTTTATCATTTTTGACATTTTGTTAGAAAAATGCTAGTCGAGCGCGTCTTATCAGACAAGGACAGAGTGGCTTGATATTTGCAGTAGAGGTATAGCTCCAAGAGTTCTGTCGTCTGATGTATTTAGCAGTTTTGTAGTATGCGTACAATCAATTAGTTTTTATCAAAACAATCATGTTTGTTCTATTATTCATAAGTTATGTTTTAAGATGCCGACGTGTTTTCCATAGTATCTACTTTCTTGATTACTTAAAATCTTCTTGCATAGCTAGTTTTTGCTTGTGGATGATATGAAGATATAAAATTACTAAACCAGACCATTGATATTTTTAGTAGTAACAAAGAAGATAATACTTTAAGAGAGAGTAGCAATTTCCATAGAAAATAATGTCTTAGCTTATAGTGTTGAGACAATATTTTTGTTAATGTTTGTCTTCTTGAAAGTTTGTTACTTAATTGAAGGATATGTGTTGGGATCAGAATTTAGTCCCGTTTCCAAATATGAGCTCAGAACTTCGGGCTCAACCTTTCTTCGAGATTAAAGAGATAACCTTTGAACAGTCTATAAAAATAATTCAGACGGAAAATTGTCTCGGATATTTTTATAATTTTATAACTGTAACTCGAAAGTAAAAGTTCAAACCATTATTAATATATCAACTTGTATAGCAGAATATACTTTAGAAAATGTACTATTTGGATTCCTTTTTTGTTGTTTCTTTCCACCAGGTATTTCAATTTTTCATTTTTTTTAAACCCTCATCTTTCAAAAATCGATTTTTTGATTATAAAGACATTTTGCATAGAAAGGAGTTCTTGTCAGAATTTCTTTAATTTCAGTTGAGTAAAAGTTACAGCTTATTTCAATATATAGTTCTGCAAAGAACTATCCTCTCAACAAAAAGATCGATTCGGATACTTTGTAGCACGTTCAAAAAGAAATTTCGAAGAGTTAGCAAAAGTTGTTTGGTTTTCTAGCCAATCTGATTTCTTTGGGTCTTTTAAACATTTTCGCACTATTTTCGAACAAGAAAGATACAATATTTCTAATTCTATATTAAAAAAGATTACAATATTCTGAACATTGCTCCTAGTTTTCGACTTGTCTGAGATACTTTCAAGCAGATTAAAATGAGTAAATATTCAAGCAATAAACTTCGGGGCATATGTTCCCCCAAAATAATCTTCTGTTCCTGTCAAAAAACTATCGTACTCAAATTGAAACTGAATTTCTAAATGTACATTCGAAAAATGCACAGTATTTTGATATTAACCCACAGGTTTTTGACTCATCGCCAACACTTTCGAAAGAATCAACAATGAACAAACATTTTCTTTCAAAATTTTCAGCTTATTTGTTAGTATAGAAAGAGAAGTATTTCGAGATCTTGGTTGTGAATAGTTAACATTTATTAGAAATAAACTTTATATTCGCAAACAGCATGAAAAACTATATCAGAAGATATTTTTCATCATGACATATTTCGTATGAAAATGTTATTATACTTGTACTCAACCATTTACTCCGAAAATTCCACCCTGTGCTCCGCTACAGATGATATCTTGATCAAAAATATTTCGCAATGAAAAATTTGCTATCTGTTGTGGTTTTGAAGGCTGATTGCGAATATAAAATTTATTTCTGATAAAAGTCTCTTTCTTATCATATCATCTTTTTGTTAACATTAAACATATCGAAGGACCGGTTTCATAATTGTATATTCTCATATCATTCACAACAAAAAAAAAGTAGCCAGACAAGACAATTTTAATAAGTCAAGAAAGCTTAACGTATGGAAAACTCGCAAGTATCTTCAAATATATCGTATGAATAATAGAATAAACAAGATTGTTTTGATAAAAATTAATTGGTTTTATGTATGCAACAAAACTGCTAAATACATCGGACGATAGAACTCTTTGAGCTATATCTCTACAGCAAATATCAAGGCACTCCGTCCTTGTCTGATCAAACGTCCTCAATTAACATTCAGAGTAAAATAAGGTTCTATTTAGGATATCCATATGTTTTATATTTAGTTTAAGAAAATCTCTAAAATATCGGACGCAATAGTAGAAATTCCTAATAACTAAAATTAAAAGATCATAAAGGCAAAAGTTATTTTTCTGAAAAAAATTCACAAGGAAACAATCGAAAAACCAGAAAAAATACTTATCATGAAAAATTCCATGAGTATTTTGAATAATAGTCTTGAAAACATTATTAATCTGATCGAACTGGAAATTTGAGAGTTTACTATAATCATTACCATCAATAAAATATTAAGAGAAATTAGAAAATTTTGAGATATTATCCCATTATCGATGTCTGACTCTCTTAGATACTTACTCTTAAAGTCAATAGAAAAGTTAAATGCGAAGAAAATACCATACGAATACAAATCAATTGAAGATAACTTAGTGGTACACTGATACATGTTGCTTCAAGTGGAATTTTCGATTTAACTACGAGATGTTGATTATGTGCTTTTGCTAAGGATCACAAAATACAAAATAATAAAACTAAATCAATGCGTTATTTTTTTTAAATTGTTATTCAATGTTTCATTTTCTTACTATTTATAGATAGTGAATACTTCCAATAAAAAAAAGACAAAAAAAGTGCTTTCAAATCAGTTTTTTAGTTAATCACAACATCAATCTCTTAAAATAAAATCTTCGTATGATGATATATTAATAATAATGATTATGAATTAAATCAAATAATACTTTTGTGTATTATCTAAAATTATCCTCATTTGCAAAAAAATCTATTGAAATGTATAGGTCACTTAGAATGCACTACTAAATATTCTTAGAATGCTCTCAAAAAGGAAAAAGGTCGTATCTTCATAATGTTTGTTATGTAAATAACATTATTTTAAAGTTATATAAAAAGATGCATAATAAATATCAAAATGAAAGTGATTTTCAAGGTTGATGCTAAACATTTCTTTATCCTTTAACATTATTCTTTTCTTTTTCTTTCTTGCATTAACCTATTTCAAGTTTTTATTATCTTACATATTGATATAAGGAATATAAAAATTTCAAATACATAATATTTATTTTATTTATATAGAATATAAATTTTATATTAACTTGAATTCTGCTGAATTTTTTTATTTAAAAAAAAAAAAAGAAGAAGAAGAAGAATGTACAACTCGAGCCTCGATATTAGTTCTTTTCTTCTACTGTTCCACTCAACAAGAATACATCGACATACATATATATATATATTATTTATAAGAAACAGTTGTTATTAACTCGACAAAAAAGAAAGAATGAAAAAACGATCAATCACAATATGAGCATGTGAAATGAAATTTAAAAAAATAAGGACGGTCGTACTAAAGAGAAATAGATTTTAACTCGAATGATGATGTGAATGGTGATATATAGGAAAATTTTCTCCACCAATATTTGTCGTTGGATAATACCATTGTTCATTTGTTGTTGTTGTTGGCAATGAATACTGTTGTTGTGCAAATGTATTACAATCATAATGACGATATGGATGGTAATGTTGTTGATGATGAGAAGGATGATGCATGCCTTTAGTCATAATCACTGATGGTCGACTTGTAGGTAATGGTGAATGTGGAGATGATGGACTTGGACTTGGTGTTGATGTTGATGGTAGATGACGATGATGTGGAGAAGATGAAGAGAATGATGAAGGTGGTGGTGGTGATGGATAAAAACATGTTTGTTGTTGTTGTTGTTGTTCACTGGGATAAGGAGATTGTTGTCGTTGTTGTTTAATAGAAACTCGAGATGGACCTGTAGGTGGTGAAGATTCAACGACATCAGCTGGACTTACTTGTGGTCGATAAGAAATTCGAGTAGCATATTCTAGGAAAATATAAATTAAGAAAAATTATATTTCTAAAGTTTACGAACAAAAAAAGATAACAACAAACCATTTTCAAGTTCTTCATCAATAACTGGTGTAACATGTCCATCATCCACTCTATAGAAGAAAAAAAAAGAAATACTAATATTGTAAAAAAAGAAAGTCTATGGTGTCGTTTTTTTATACCCAATAATTTCTACAACAAGTACAACGAAATTTTCATCATTTGTTTTTGATTGCATCATTGTAGCAAGTAAATCACACCAAATCCATTTTTGTTCTATAATAACATTATTATTATTATTATTATTACCATTTGTTTTACGTTGATGTTGTGATGATGGCATAATAACATTCATTTGTAATCGAACAACATTTAAAACAAGTTGTTGTCGTGATGGTACTACAAATAAATGAAAAAAAAATATATATATTTCATTTAAATAAAATAATTTGTTTTATTTACAATCTCGATGAGCTGCTACTAATGATGATAAATCATCAGGATGTACGTAAAGATAAAGCGATGATGTTGCATATGTTAAATTCCAATTTAATGTTCGTTGTAATCTATTTTATTTAATAAATAAAGTATTGAATAAAAACAAAGCAAAATACTAACTTATCATCCATATGAGTTATATGTAAATTTTCATCAAGTCGAATAACATTTTGATGTTCAGGAATAGGAAATTCATTTTGTGATGGACTTAAATTTGGTATTATTGCTGTACCAACAAAACCTAATAAATGATCACCATTGTGTGATGTACGACGATGATCAGGATGTAACCAACGATATTCACCAATGATTTGTACTGACTATTGAAAACATTTTTTTAATAATAAAAAAAAAATTAAAAATAAAAAGACATCTTTTTTCTTACTCGATAACCAGGTGTTTTCATATTCGGTGCTCGTTTTGTTAAACTTGACCGCATTCGAACACATAAAGATTTTTTATTAAAACGAGTACTATCCGTAGGTGCTTGCATTCGTGGACATTGATCAGCTAGAAAAAAAATATATATTAATATAATATAAATATAAATATACAATTTTATCTGCACCACTATGACCGATGATGGAACTATTCGAAGTAATTCACTACTTTTGAGCTCATATTGAAATATGATCACGACTTCGAGTTGTTAGTGAATATCCTCTGCACAGTACTTCTAGTTGTTCAGCGAAATTTAGTTTTTAAATGTTGACCTGGAACGTTACGTATATGAAGATCTCATCTCAACGGGAAACAATCTAGATTTCATTACATTACTTTTATTTCGTTCAGATTTTGCTGAATAACCGAAGATTCTTTATAGAAAATATTTACTAAGAACTCGTAATATGAGCTTAAACTCTTTTAGCGTTGTTTGAATCAAGAAATCTTCTCTATAGGCTCAAAAACAGTGAATCACTTCGAACAGTTTTCTCCCTCGTGAGTGACTGCATCGTTCGACATGGACTCACAAAGTAATTGTGTGCATATGTCAATACCATTACTCATCATAATGACGTCCGACAAGTTACTAACGACTATTTGTTTCGGATCATCCGTCAGATAGCATGCTGACTATGTTGTGATATATAGGTGCTCTTTCTGGCTAGTTCATGTGAATAAACAGCTCAAAAACTCTGTGTCAGACTGGCCCTCTGTCTAGAACTGCAACTATTATTAACTCTAGATAAAATATTAGAGTATAGAATCTGTCTCTAGGCAGCATCCCATACCGAAAAGTAGAGTTATTCATCTTCTTCTTCTTCTAATTTTTACATTGTTTTTCGAAACAATCGTCTTGTGTATGAGATGATTTCAAACAAAACTCTTTAAAATTCATGCCATAATCTTACGTCATGACTTTCCTAAGGTCAAGATAGTCACAAACAATGTCATATATATCTGTAATAATGATTAACTTATTCTAATCGATAATACACTTTTGGAATATAAACTATTACAAGCTAGTCATTCCATTGGTTCATCTTTGTTATGTTTAAATTTATTTCTTTATTGTTTAACGACAAAAAATTCCCAAATGATAAGTCACTGTTAAGCTGCAACTATATTCAAACGTTATGGTCTAGTAAGTAAGTAAATACTCTAGATTGATTCGAGCTATTGGACCTTTATTATTGAGATATCGAATTTTTTGTAGGTTTTCCAGCAGGACTCTAGTTTTCAACCGAAACTATACTTTTGAGTTTTGACTTGAAACTTAACCCACATAAAGACATCAGACTAGATCAGCTTGTAGAAAAAATTGCAAAATCTTTAACCAAGTTTCTTCGAGATATGAGTTTTTTGAATTATAAACGCTTTGCCATGATTATTGTAAAAAGAAAAAAACGAAGATTTTGAAAAGAATCTACTAAAACTTGAAAATTGCAGTAACAAAGACACAGCAGCTCGAAGCATTCGCAAGTTTTATCCTACTCACTAGATCCTATCGATTAAATATACTTCTAGCTCAAGGAGCAATTTATCACTTGAGAATCTTTCTTCGTAAGTAATTAAAAACACCAAGCTAAGTTTTACAATATTCTTTTATTAAACGACAAAAATAGCAATATCTTGTCTCGTGATTATTTTGTAAACAAATGTAAATTTATCACTACATTGAGTGCAAAAGAGCACATCAGCATGTTAGATCAATGTTAAATGCAGTGCACATTCTTCCCCACAAACAAAAAAATTGGAATGTCGATTAATAATTATGTATATTTATATATATATTTTTTTTTTCTTTCTAGTCAATAAATAAAATAAAACTAAAGAATTTATTCTATTAAACTCACGTGGTATATCAAGAAGATCAGAATCATTATTAGCTGAATTAATTAAATCAATAGCTAAACTTGTTGTTGGACTTGATGGTGGTAATAGTTCAAAACCAAGTGTATCAGCAAAAACTTTTTTATCATCATCATGTAAATAATTAAATATAAAATTTCCTGTCATTTCAACCATTGATAAACCTAAACTACTTGAAACAGATTCTGATATATATAATATTCTACCATCAGAACTTAAGGCAAATATAAAACCATCAAGTGACTATAAAAAAAAATTCAATTAATGAATAAATTCTTGTTGTTTTCTTTTTGCGTTCTTTTTTTTTTTACTTGTAATAATTGTGATGCTTCATCAGCATTAAATAATTTAAATGCTTGTTTTCTTGATGGTACTAAATAGAAAAAAGAAGAATTTTATCAAGGGACTTGATATCTTATCCAGTGAGAATTCATATAAATCTATCAGATTAACAAAAGAAAAGAAAAGAAAAGACAAGAAATACCATTTATTTCAGTTGGCCAAGCTGGATCACCATGTGATAAAAATTCGTGTAAACGTAAATAACTTATTGTTAAACGAATAATAGAAGCTTTATCAAGTTGTGCAGCTATTTGTTGTTGTAATGGTAATAATTTTGATAAATCAGTAAATTCTTTATTTTCTGCACTACGACGATGCTTTGCTGCCACACGAGATTTTGCTTTACGATCATCATTATTACTGCTACCAAGAAAAAAAAACAATAAATAAATATGAATGGTCACCTAAGTTATTGAAACATCCAATCATATTTCTGAGAATAATTTTAATTGAATTAAAAGGTTTTTTCTTTCGTTCTCAAGGGTGTAACTTATGAAGAGTGTGTGGCGCATGACACTCGTCCTTTTGCTTCTGAAATTCGTTCATATAACTCTCCTTCTACCTTTAAAAATCATTCACGCAGTCTATCTTCTGCTACCTCCAGTGTTGAGTTATCCCTCTGCATTTGTTAAAGATATCTACGGATTTTTTTTTTTATTTACCCATTGAACCAATTTCGACGATGATGATAATCGATTGAATTTGAATCATTCATATTTCCATTGTTTGTTGTATGCATTATATATTCATCATTATTTCCACCTTCAACCATAATCATATGTGAATCATAAAAAAATTGTGATGGTACCATTGGTTGTGAAGGAGGAGGAGGATAATCAAACGGTTCACCTATCTGTTGTTGTTGTTGTTGTTGCTGTTGTGGATGCCACCAAGACGCCATCGTTTTTCTTTAGTAAACGTTTGTTTGTTTGAAAAAAAAAAAGAAACTCGAAGGATAAAAGAGAAGCAGAGAGGGAGAGAGAGGGAGAAAAGAATCATTTACTTTCTCTTCTCAATATTTGCCTGTTCGTGTTTCTCTCTTTCTCGATTTTTTTTTACTATAGTAATGCATTCCATATTATAGAAGAAAAAAAAAAAAAGATGAGAGATGTGACTATGAAGGAAAAGCATATAAACAGACAAGATTTGAGCAAAAGAGAACCGCCTGTTATTAATCGTGTGTAGAAGAGAGAATTAGAAGAATAAATCTGATTTGCTCCGTGGGTGGCACTAGTATCGGATATTGTTCTATATGGATGTGCAACTAACCAGAGAAAGAGAGGGAAGGAGAAAGCATCATCGGACAATTAGAGGCCTCTTTATCATCTTGTCTGCGCGTTATCGCTGCGACGTGACTTTCGTACGAAAAATGCCTTTGAGTCTGGTTTATATGGACGAATGTCAAAAATCACAATAAGAAAAGAGAACAAGGCAGAGAGAGAGAGAAAAAAAACCATTGATAATAAGCAAATGAGATAGTATAAAAAAAGAAAATTTCCATGATATATTATTCTGTTTTTTTTTTAATTTGATTCATACCTGAAATCCAATAGATAATGTAGAACAACAGTCATACTTTTACTATGTAGATATATATATGTATGTTTCTCTTTTTCTCTCTTATCTCATCATCATCAATAAAAATGACACCAATAGTTTTGTCTCTTATTCACTTTCTATATGTCGGCACATTGAATTCTCTTGGGTAAAAAGAGAGAGAGAAAATGTTAATCATTTTTCACTTTACTAAGTTACTCTTTACTCGTTGATATATTATTATTTCATTCAAATGAAGTCTTTTTAAATGAGAAATAATGTTATTCAAAATGAAATTTATTCGATCAAGTATATATAAATAGATGAAAATATTCTAGAACCAAAATTCTTTTCGAAGTTCAGTTGTAAATAAGATTAGTAGTAACAACAACAACAACGCCAACAAAAAAAACAGATATTCATCATTTGATTTTGCATAGGCTTTTATATATTTGCAATAAACTCAAAAGTATTTGTTTCTTTGATCGCGATTGTATATTTAATTAAACAAGAGAAAAAATTACAATATGAAACACTTCATTAGATCAAATCTTTCTTTTTCCTATAGAATCGACAGCGTGTAGATTTGATTACTCTATCTCTTTCAGGCGACAACTCATCAGGGGGTACGATAGCAAAAATGGTGTAACGAAATAAAAAGTATAGATATATATGTGTGTATGTGTGTGAGGAAGGAAAAGGGGGTGGAGCGCAACGACGACGACAACGACAACGTATTGATCTTCTCTTTGTGTCTCATCTTGTCTATTACAACTACTACTGTGTGATGCTACATTTAATCAATGCAAATACTATAGTAGTGATGGTGGTCAAATTTGCATGTGTGAATTCATTCATCATCACTTGTTCTACAACCGGACGGATACGGACAAATGCAACATCCGTTTGATGATGTTGTTGCTTGGTTTTTTTTCTTTCTGTCTATCATGAATTTAATGAATACAATATAGATATATTTATATCTCTACTTGTTGATTTGCGCATCATTGACAATGACAAGCAAAACAGATCATTTAACTTTGAGCTTTTAATATCAGTTTCTTTTTTCTTTTATTAAACTTTTAGCTTTTGAAATAATTTGAATGAATCAATTTTTTTTTTCTATTTGTATAGTAATATGAAACAATTATCAATTGATTTGTTGTATATATATATATATGTATCATCTAATTTTTGGACAAGCCACGCCTATATAACTAAATTATTTTAGTACCATTTCTGATAAGAAATAAATGAAATATTGAACATCAATTGAATGACACATATATTTATAGAAGAGAATACATCTTTAATATTAAATTGACTAGAATGTTGAGTCTATCTATTTATCTATCTATCTTTATGCTCTACTGCGAGATGATGGAGCAATGAAGAAAAAAAAAAAGTGATGGATGATCTATGCCGTCTAATGACTTTTGGTCGCCCAAGCTATAAGCGCATCTGCATCAATTCGAACATTAATTCTGTCTCTGCAATGAATCGATGACGATAAGCAGGACGATATATATATATATATATAAAGAACAACACGGTAATGTTGCCGGTATTCGATTGAGAAGAGACCGACTCAAGCGCGCGATTGATTTTTCCGAAGTGGCTCGTTAACCCAACGCGGAACGATCAAGATCGTCATTTCTTTTCTTTCATGTTGTTTTTCTCTTCTACCTATCATTCATATGTATATATATATGTATCAGTTAAGTTATGCTTTGGAGAGACATTGCACTATGTATCACTATCATTGCTTATATATATATATATGTATACTCATAGAACATGATGATGAATGGTCTTTACTCCTCCTCTTTCAATATGTGTTTATATTAGGTGAAACAAAAAAAAGAAAGAATAACAGAATCTGTCAGTTAGTCAAATCAAATGAAAAATTTTTTTCAGATAACATGTCTTGTATATTCAATGATAAAGAAAAAATATATATTTATTATCTATAAAAAAAAGATTCGAAGATAAATTGAATCAATTTAGTTTTATATTATATGATTTTTAAGAGACTTTTATCTCAATTGCATTAATAATAAAGACTCGAGAGATAGTTCAAACGAGTTCTATTGATTATTATAAATGAAAACAAAAATCTGTTAATGAATTTGTTACATTTTAATTTTGATTATTTGACGGATATGCATAATTTTTTCAATTATTAACACAGAATAATCTCAAAAATTATAGTAACATTCATTAATGACTTTGAACAGATGTCTGATTGTTGTGTTTTTTTTTACCAATATATGTAGACATACATACAAACATTGTAAAGAATAAAACGATTGAATTGACAGATAGAAAAAAAGAAGTCTTTACTAATGAATAGGAATCATTAGTTGTTTTAAAGTTAATTGTCTATTAATCATATCTAACTATCTGACAAAACTTTTAATATTTATCAAAGAATTTCGATTTTTTTTTTTCTGAAAAATATTTGCGTATCAAACATCGAAAAAGATTAAACTATTTTATCAATTTGATATATCTTCAGAAATGTCTTTTGATCTACTAACCAAGATTAATTTTTCTAAATGATTTAGAATTTATCATATAATTAATCTGTATTTTCTAGAAGATGCGATAAACACATTCGTAGAAAAGAAATTTTTTTTGTCCTTCAAATGAGGATATTATTTGTTAGATCTGATCTAAACAAATAATTAATTCATTTGATTCTGATCATATGCATTTGTATTGAAGAAGTTTTTTATAGTGTACACTTATTCACCAACGTGAAGTAGATATAAAACATTGTATACATTGATTTTTTTTTCTCTTGAGATTATCGAAGAATTCATTAGTAGTAAATCGAAGAAGATTCATTGCTTTACACAAAGATAAATAATGTTTTTACTAACGTCATAATCCTTAATGGTACCTGATCACTAGAGATTATTGGATTCGTTCCGAATTCGTTAAGATCCAAGTCCCGGACCGAATCAATGGCTTACATTCTAAAAGTAAGAGTCCATGATAATTTGTTTTATTAAAAGATCGCTTTCAAAATTGTCTAAGAAATTTGTACGGTGCGTTAGTAGCAAAATTTGGAGCGATTATTATAATCGAGCGAAAAAATTTCTTTGAAATTAGAAGTACTGTTCGAGTTTAGACTTGTATATGAATAAGTTTAATCAATCGGAGCTGAGTTTGAACATGCATAATCCGACGAACTCTACTGATGACTGACAAAGATTAATTTAAAATCGAAGATAAAAACAAAAATATTTTGATCTTTCAAAAATAGTGAGAATACGCCTTTATGAAGAAATCTTAGAAACCTATTGACAGCAAAATAAAAATTTATATTTACAATATAAATCATATGGTTTGATAATAGTTTTTTTTATTAAAGCTAATAATAAAAGTTCAATATTAATTGTTTTTTTCTTAGAAATAACTTTACGGATGCTCAGTTACATGTCATTCTTAATATAGAAAAAACAAGAGATATTCATCAAACAATCGATACTAAATGATGTTTATTAGTAGACATCCTGTACTAAGTATTCAATTCGCAAGTAATTTCTGACATGAAAAATAGTATTTTATCATCAATTGGACTAAAATAATACTATTGCAAAAACGAAAAATAAATAAATAAATAATTCATAGTTTGACAATAATTTCTCTTATGTATAAAATTTTGTGTCTGTTAGTTTAACCTCCTTCTGAATGCAAATGATACTTAGAAATCATTTCTAAATAAAAAAAAAGATACAGCTAAAATTATGTGCCTAATATAATATTCAATTTTGCCCGTGACATATACTTTGAAGTATCTAATATTCAAGTTTATTAATTCATCAGTGAATTTCAATTCTATAGAAAGATATGATAAAGCAAAAGGAGCAATTGTATCTCGAAGACACGAAAAATACGATTTTTTGAAGCTCATCTATGGCAGTATAAATTTCATTTTTGTTCAATTTTACTATAAGATATTGAAATAAACTTTCAGAAGCGTAATTAAGAATATTGAGTCTTTCGTCCTTCTCATGTATCTATAGATGCTGTAGAATATGTTTCAATACTAATGAAACATATTTGCTTTTTTTGTAACGACATCTTTTTACAATTTTTTTTATTTGCTTTGCAAATACCAATGATATTATAAAAATGTTATTATTATTTTTGAAATGAGTTTTTTGGTTCTGTTATTGCACTTCGTCACACTCAATTAGAACGTAGTTTGTTGACGAGAATACGAGTATGTTTAAACAATAGTTCTAGAAAAAAAAACACTTTTCAAATATACTATTATAGATATTCATTATTGATTAACAAGAAAAAGAAAATCACCGGAAATAATGACAAGTTTTCTACAACGATTCTATGATA